ACGGCGATTCCTTTTGGGGTGATAAGGAAAATCTGTGTCCTAAGATGATCGACCGAGCCAGCAAGAGAATCCCAGTCCTTGCCCTGGGGCTCTTCCGGGTTCTTCTCCCTGCTCTGCTTCCCACGCACACCAATCCAGGTTCTTCTCCCTGTCCCGCTCTGTGCACGCACCAAAAGTGTCCAGTATGCAGAAGTAGAAGTGTATAAATTGCCCCCTTTGTTTGTGTGCGGGGCTCAGACCTTTGGAGACCACTCTCCTCCGAGCCTGCCGGCGTTAAATAAACCTCCCATCCTCCAAGATCTCCGGGTGCCGCTTGGTTCTTCCGTCGGGCAATCCAGTCCAGGTTCCATAACATTTGGTTCCCTGACTGGGAAACCCAACCGCACTGGCCCATTGTTGCCACCGGTTTGGGGCAATGACAGGGCGGTGACAGAACGAGGGATCCTAACGGAGAAGGTGCGCCCTGCCTAATTTTCGGCAGTCTCGCGCCCTGGTCACCTCGGGCCGGCCCTGCTCCATTCTTCCCGACAGACTGGAGGAGACTTGGCAGGTGAGGACCTGGTCCCAACGTCAGATTCTGGTAGGGCCTGGGGCCCCAGGACCCAGATAGGCCCACCCCCATTGGGGTGGAAGGGGAGCCTGATCACCTCCCAGAGACCTCTTAGAGGTCTCACAGGTAGGGATTCCCAGGGAGGGAATGTAATAACTTCTGGAGTGTGAATGTGTGAGTGAACGTGCAGTCCGACCTGGCTTGCTCAAGCGGACTGATTCTGTGACTCCCCTGGCTGGCACCCTTAAGGTCCCCAGAAGCCTACGGAGTCTGAGTGGGCCCATCTGCGATTCCGTGGTGAATGGCATACAGTCTTTGGTGGCATTGGAATAGTTTCTGATCATAAGTCACAACGCTGAGACCGCTATGGCTAAGCCTCACCTAAGCTCCTTCGGGTCACAGCCAGATGGGCATATGATTGGTCTCCTCACCTCAGGAGGCACCCCCCCCCTTTGTCTGTCTCTGCACCACTGCACACGGGGACATCACCATGGGGTCAGGGCAGAGTAAACCTATGGTTCTAGAGACCATGATCAAAAATTTCAAGAAGGTGTTTTTAGGAGACTATGGAGTCAGGATGAACCCCAGCAAGTTGAGAACCCTTTGTGAATTGGAATGGCTTGGGGGTGGTCCAAGAAACTCTGACCCAATTACAGGAACGAGTACATCACTGGTGGGAAACACTCCAGTGGACAACTTGGTGGGATACCCTCTCACAATGGTTCCCTTGGTTCGCCCCCTTCATCGGCCCCTTCCTATTGCTTCTCCTCATAGTGGTATTTGGTCCTTGTATTTTTAATGCCCTTACTAGGTTTATCACTTCTCAAATTGCTAAAATCAGATTCCAGTTACTCCTTACTCACTATCGCCCCTTAGAAGATGAAGATGATGCCCTCTAAACTAGGTGTTTAAAAGGGCATCAAAGGGGGAGAATGATAAGGAAAATCTGTGTCCTAAGATGGCCGACCAAGCCAGTGAGAGAGTCCCAGTCCTTGCCCTGGGGCTCTTCTGGATTCTCCTCCCTGCCCAGCTTCGCCCATGAGCCAGAAGTCCCCAGTATGCATAAGTAGAAGTGTATAAATTGCCCCCTTTGTGCTCCAGGCTCAGACCTTGGGAGACCACTCTCCTCTGAGCCCACCGGCTTTAAATAAACCTCCTATCCTCCAAGATCTCCGGGTGCCACTTGGTTCTTCTGTCGGGCGATCCAGCCCAGGTTCCATAACAGGGGAAAGCCAGTATGGAAATTCTTGGGTTCCGGAATTTTTTTAAAAAAGCACATGGTAGTTATATTTATTTTATAGTGTTCTGGCGCTTTTGTGACAGGCAGCCAAAAGTGAAATTACCTTCACCGGTCTTGGCTCAGTCCTTCCTCCACTCCTAATCATCCCTTCAAACCCACATCCATTAGACCGAGCAGTTGTCCTTCACCACTAAGGAAATGCAGCCCAGAGTCATGTTACCTTGGAAACAGAAGCACCGTTTTGCTGCAAGACACATGGCTTTATCTGCATTATTATGAAGCAGAAGACATTGGTAGGCCTGGGAGGAGAATCAAATATTCTGCCCACCAGTGTTGTACTTGGCCTTTGGGTGAATAAATGACTTTCAATTAGAGTGCTTAAATATCTTTTAACTTCAATAATTGTTATTAGAGCCCCAAAAGAATTTTACTTGGAAAAGAGTAAAAAAAAAATTGACTCTGCTGTTAAGGAGAGAGCTATAAATTCTTTCAAACGACACCATTTCTGTTAAAATATATGTGCAAAATAAATGTCTTTGTCCCTTGTTTTTTGACTTTCTGACTTGATCCTATTGCAGATTTATGAGGTCGCCCTTACCTCTTCCTTTCTTTGTCTCTACTCTAAACTGCTTTGTAGTGAACACATATATTTACAATCCCATCTTGTGGTGGGCTGTGTGTATCCAGATCCTCTCTTCTTGACTTACTGCTGATTTTCCTCTGGGCCTGCCACTCACTCGCTCCCACTTCTGGGTGGTAATACCCTCCCCCAGCCAAAGCCCTCGCTCTCATTTGCCACCTGGCTCTATTACTGGGAGGCTCTCCTCATCTTCTGAGCAACCCTAAATTTAGGTTACTATCCTATTTTATTTTCTCTTCTTGTAACTACTTCGTTCCTTATTGTCTGTGTTGCTAACTGTCTTGAAGACCAGATCCGCAAGAATTACACTGGTAGAAGGATCAATTCATCAATTCAATCCCAGGAACAAAACAAAAATCCCTCATGCCTTCAGTTCCAAAGATGCTCATAGACACTGTTTCCTTACAAGTCCACAGAAAAGCCCTATTAAAAAAAAATAAGACACATACGCACATGCACACACACATGTAGTCTAACTAAGAAAAGTCTCTTATTGGCTGGATATAAATTAGAACAGAATGTGATATTTAGAAGTACTAGTGTTTTAATTCTAGAGAGAGTAAGGTAGCATTAAGAGATGAGTGATGTTTATTGAGCAGCTAGTTCATTCCAGGTGTTTTTTATGTCTACATTCCATTTAACTCTCAAACTCATCCTCAGGAGTGATGAGAATCGACTCAGTTGCCCCCCAAACCCTAGACAACAGTGATTTCTGATTCTGAGTTCAGTGTTCTTTCCAACTGCATCACTTTGTACATGTCCATCCAGCAAAGCTCCGACGTGTGGAGAGCTAATAACACTTAAGTAAAACTGAGGAGAATACAGCCTCTAATCCTGGCTTAGTTTCTATTGGACAGGACTGTGGGAAAGTCATTTATTTGTTTCAAACTCAGATTTGCCCATCCTTATTTAATAGGGATAAATAACCACTTATCTCCCCATACATATAGGGAATTAAGTGGTTAACGTGGGCAAAGCATGTTGAAAATACAACGGGCATTCTATTTCTGTAGGAAGAATGACAGACTCTTGTTACTATAATAGGTCCAGATTGGTAGTTCTGTGTAACTCCCAATCAGTTCAGTCCGAAATCGTTGTCAATCCCAAATTTGCAGTGTCTTTGAGAGCAGACCCCATCACATATTTTTTTCTGTGTCTCCCAAATCATCTTAACATAGTGCTGGGTGTGTAGTGGATGCTTAATATACATTTTCAAGTGATGGAGAGGGTGATTAAATCCAACTATTGTTCAATATCTACTTGAGTCATCAGTTACAGATGCAATTTTATCATAATATCCAAAAAGATTCCTTAAATGCCTGGATACAATTAACACAAGTTGCTTTTAGAAGATATAGTCATAATTTATAGTATTATCCAATTGAATTTTTTAACGATTTATTTATTTATTTTAGAGAGAGACAGAGATAGTGAGAGAGAGTGGGGGAGGAGGGGCAGAGAGAGAGAGGGAGAGAGAATCTCAAGCACCGAGCAGAGGGTCCCACACAGGGCTCAATTCCATGACCCTGAGATCATGACCTGTACTGAAACCAAGAGTCGGACACCTAACCCCATGCGCCATCCAAGCGCCCCTATCCTATTGAATTCTTAACAGTAATAATGATCAATTCTTTCTATTATGACATATAAGGAAATATTTTATTTCCCTAAACTCCATTGCTTGCCCTTCAGAGAATCTCGGGAAACACTAGTGGAATAAATAGCAAAATTAATTTACCTAGAACCTGAAATTTCACTTTCCATTCCTCTAACAAATTCACAATAACTGCTCCGTTTTGAGCATTTACTGTATGTGTACTAAACACACACACTACCCCTTTAATTTTTATAATGACCCTCTGAAATTGAATCTATTATTGTCCCCATTCTATAGGCGAGGAAACAGATTCAGAGAGTAAACATAACTTGTCCAAGTCATAACCTGTCCAAGTCTGTAGCACAGCCTGATCCAAACCCATACAGGCTGATTCTGTATTGCTCTTAAACAGGATTCTACACAACAGCCAAGTGCATAAATCACCTCTGAGAAAACCAGCTTTCTTTTGATGCCTGTCTCCATTAAGCTCTTTATCCTTCCTTTTATAGAAGAAAGGAAGGAAGGGAAGAAAAAAGGAGAAAGGGAAGGATGAGGGAGGAAAGAAAGAAAGAGAGAGAGGAAAGAAAGAAAAAAGAAAGAAAGAAAGAAAGAAAGAAAGAAAGAAAGAAAGAAAGAAAGAAAGAAAGAAAGAGAAAAAGAAAGAAAGAAAGAGAAAGAAAGAAAGAAAAAGAAAGAAAGAAAGAAAGAAAGAAAGAAAGAAAGAAAGAAAGAAAGAAAGAAAGAAAGAAAGAAAGAAAGAAAGGAAAAAGAAGAAAGAGAGAAGAGGAGGGGAGGGAAGGGAAGGGAAGGGAAGGGAAGGGAAGGAATGTCATCCACCCCTCCTGAGTAACCTGGGGATAAAATGGGACCTATTCAACATGTTAACACTGGTCAACATCGTCAAAGAATAAATATGTAGAGTGTCTGTTTGGTCTGACTTGATGTCATTTTGCCTTTGTTTTGCATTTATCAGGAGAAGTGTTCTTGCAGATTAAAGGACCACTGGAAGATATTTATAAAATCTACTGCTACCACCATGATGAGGCACACAGCGTAGTGGAATCCTATGAAAAGGAAGAAGAGCTGAAGCAACATTTGAGCCACTGTATCCAGTCCTTAAAGTAAGGCCTTTTCAAATGATGATTTCCATGCCTAGCAGGGAACATTTTAACTGGATGTGGATGAAAGTTCCCACATAAATCCTACATTTGATGAGGCTTGCTGGGAGCTCTACTTTGTGTTCCTTTTATGAAAAGCTGACATGCCAGAAACCCTGATTGACTTTTTCCCCCCCCCCGCCTCCGTGAGCATGACTAAAAATAACATCGGGGATGATTGGGGGCTCTGTAGACAGAGAAAAATGCAATATCAAAAAATGAAACGTGGAAGAAAAGGCTCTTCTTAAAGCTGTTGTTACCTGCCTGCCCCCACATGAGACAGCACTGGGGCATGAGGAATAATAAAGTTAGGGGAAGGTCCCGTGACTCTCTGCCTGGCTCTCCTCTTTCCCCCAGATTCACTGTGGGGAAAGAGGGGAGACTGATGAGGACAGGTCAGATCCTGTTAGTTTCAGGAGAATTAGTCATGAATTCTTTCCTCATCCCTTAAGTCTTGGTGCTACATAATACACACTTTTTTAATCTGGAAGAAATGATTCACTATAAATATCTAAAAAATATAAGGAAACACAAATAAGATAAAAATTCTTGCTACTCCATGTATTAATTCCTGGCTAGACCATGTATTAATAACCGCAGCTGATATTTTTTTCTGATTTTATTTATAGGCATAAATATGGACATGGGTTTGTGTTTATTCTTTTAAATGAAATTAGCATCTTCCTGTATATATCGTGTTCTACCACATGAGGCTTAAAGCCAAAATTTCTGCCCTACTCCACTTCTTACCTAGTGGTTCTACTGTGGTCTTTCATTTTTAAGGATTATCCATTGTCAAAGATTAAACCAGAGAGAGCTGTGATATCTAAATCAAAGCATACCAACCAGTCTGAGCATCTAGCACACTCCCCCCTTATAGCCTCTATTGTAGGGGGACAAAAATTGGGGTCCTAATATGGTACAAGAGATTGGTAGCCGAATTAAAGTGAAATCAGGATACAAAATGAGACTACAGTGGGCCCCCACCTTAGCCACATGGGCTACATTCCAAGACCCGCCGTGGATGTCTGAAACTTGGATAGTACCAAACCCTATATATACTGTGTTTTTTCCTATATGTGCTGACAATTCAGAAGGAGGAGCATATACTTCTGGATCACAGCTGACTGTGGTAACTAAAACCCCCACAGATAGGGGCACTCCTGGATTCTGGAAAATGTCTTTCCAGGCTAGAACGGGGACTGACACTGGTTTTAAGCAGGGTCTGAAGAATTTTTAAAAATTAGCTTTATTGCCTGCCATTGGTCATTAAGTTGTTGCAGTTCTTTACCAATTTTTCATATCATGGAAAAGATATTCAAGTCATGAAATCACAAGCATTTATTTAGTGCTTATGCTACATGAAGCATAGTTCTGGGTGCTGCAAATACAAAAATAAATTAAGAGTTATACACTGCCCACAAGGAGCTTAACGTGACCAGGTAACTCTTAAAGATGGTATGTGACGAGTAGCTCCAGTTCATTATTTCTCCACTAACAGCAGTTTGGTTCAGTGTTAGAAATCAATTCAGAGGAACTTTAAAGTTTGAAGTTGTATCCACCTTAATATATTCCTATATTAGGAGCAACATCTTCTAAATATACAGATATTTGTTTTCCTATGGAGGAAGAACGATGTTATCCTGGGTGTGAATGAATACGTTTCCTACCTTAATCTAGTGGCAAGATCTGATCCAAGAAATGTTTATCTTGAGTCATTCTCCTTCTTCAATTTCTAGAACTAAAAGAGAGAAACCTCACAGCAAGTGCACAACTAGCACCTTTGACCATCACTCCAACTACAACCCCAGGAATGGAGGTCCCTACCGAGAGCAGATGTAGTTAATTTACTTTGGCATGTGCTCCTAATGGTTGACTAAAAATGGAGCTGCCTGTTCAGTGGGGGTGAACACTGGTTTATTATTCATTAAGGCTTTTGACTCCTAAGAGAAAGAAATGCACCCTGCCAGAGTATTCCACTTGGCAGTGTAGCCCAGTACCAAACCCCCTAAAAGCAGCTAAAGGCAGAGGTAATTTTGGAAACATCATGAAGTCTCAATTACTGAAAATGACTTTCAGACCCAGTGACTTATTTTGATCTTTTTCTGAAAGCCCTGAGTTATTGCCTTGGTGGATGTCCCAAATCTTGTGTATTCAGCACTATTCTGATTTTAGGGAATGATTTCAGGCACCGGAAGGTGCTAAGGTTTAGAAAGCACAAAATCCAAGTGAAGTAATATTGGCACAACTATTTCTTAAGGAAAAGAATGATCAAAATAAAATAGCTTAAGTTAGAGCTATTTTTCCAAAAGTTGCCTTTCCATGAAAATAAAGTCGATGATGAATTGTACTGGTCTGCCTGAAAGCTGCGAGCAGAATTATTGACATTACTATAATACTGACCCCAATTGAGCTAAGCTTTAAATTCTGAGAAACAGGTTTTTAAACAGGTTTATAGGCCAAAGAGAGTCTGGAACACCCCAAGGGGCTTGGCTTCCCTTGCCAAGTAATCAGTCAAAGCTATTACTGTGTCTCTGCCTTTTCCTTGTGGCTAAATAACGGAGCCCAAGTGCACAGTTGCCAATTTCTAATGAATATTAGGTGTGGCCTCCATTTTCTACCGTGCAAGGGGATATTGGAACAACAGGGTTTGAAGCAATATCCATGAGAGAGGTGGCTTCAGGTCTCAGAAGTTAAAGCAGATTTTTACAGCAACTTAGGTTGCATTTGAACTAAAATTAAAATATGCTTATTGAGGGCCTAATAAATATTTATTAAGAGTGCTAGATAATGTTAAAAATATATATTTATATATGTATGCATAGTTCTTGCCTCCTAGGAACACACCTTCTACTTGGGGAGATAAACAAACCATCTGGAAAGTTTAATAACAATACCAGAGTTAATTTAAATAACACACCAGAAGCTGTCACGGTGAAGTTCAAGACTAATTTCCAAAAGGATGGTAGAGAGATTTCCTGGTTCTGTAACAGACTTGAGCTCATAACCTTTGGCTATTCTTTGAAGCCCATTATCTTTCAAAAGAGAAAATAATATTTGTATCTAGAAAATAACTTTGAATCCCTTTGAAACGTTAGGACAGCGTTTCTTGGTGTATGATTTCCCCTGTGTCAGATCCATAGGGATGTGTATTAAAAGTGCAGATTCCTATGCCCTGCTCCAGACCAAAAAAAAAAAAAGAAAAGAAGAAAGAAAGAAAGAAAGAAAGAAAGAAAGAAAGAAAGAAAGAAAGAAAGAAAGAAAGAAAGAAAGAAAGAAAGAAAGAAAGAAAGAGAAAAGGACCCCTAGGGTCCAGTTCAAGCTACATATTAGCTACATATTAACAAGCACCCTCAGGTAATTGTGGATACATACTCAGGTTAAGAACCACTTCAGAAAAAGAAATCAGTACTTAACTAGCTGCTTTCCCTGAAGCAGATAGACTTTCTTCATGACTACAGATACAATCTAAGCAGTGATTTCAGGGTTTGGAGACCTTAAGAAAAAAAAGACTAAAACTCTCTGGAAGCACAATATCACATCTGCATCTGTAGCCTGCAAACTGGAAATCTGCAAGTTTTTATTTTTTCAACAAGGAGTGTTTACAGATTCCCATTAGTGACCCCTAAGATTGCATGAAAATGCTATTAATACAGTCTCTAAATTTATGGAAGTCATCTTCTAAAGCTCTAGTTACTTAGCCTCTTTGGGATTATTTAAGGCTTCTGATCTGTATGAGGAAAATGAAAAATAGAATAGCCGTAAATGCAAGTGTAACTATAATTAGAATAGCTTGTCTGCTACCTCCTTTTTCTGTTTTTCTAGCTATAAATACCACCAAATCCCCACTTTCAGAGTCCCTAGAGATCTATTTATTTTGTAATAGATAAAGAACAAAGGGGCTTTTCCAAGTTTTTTGGTAGCTGGAAGACACGTTTCTAGCTTTATGTCTTGTGGTTATAAATTTATATACATTTTTCTTCTTCCTAACTGAAGCCACCATCCTCAGGAGGAAAACTAACTTCTAGTCATCTGGGTGCTTTGGCTGTTCCTTTCACTACTACAGTTTCTCCATTCAGAAGGAAGCTGAAAGCTCATGCAACATAGAACCTAAAGGAATAGAGTTCAATTTGTTCACCACATTTTATATTTCCTAACGTTATTGTAATGGAATGTTCCAAATAAAAATTAAAATCATTTCTGGAAATTTTTTTCAGTTCCTTGTTATGGGGCACCATGTTTGAACAAAACTGTAATCATTAAATTTCTTAATGATTAGCCACATAAAAAATGTGTTAATTGTAGGTCAAATTAAAATGAGCCCATGAGGGTAGGCGGTGTGGTTGTGGTTATATTGTTACTTTCCCCATAAAAGGGTGAATGGACACAATTTAACTTCCTCCTCCCTGTATTGTCCTTGCCTGGGACTCACTTCTGGAAATTTTTAGCCTAAAAGGGAGACTTTTAAAAAATGATGAGCAAATAAGGAGATGTTATAATGTAATAGTACTATGACATTACTCCAACAGGTTTTCCCTGTTGGAAAATCTCTGAGGTTCCTTCTTGTAAAATCTATACTTACGTTAAACACCATGCTAATTTATGTCATAGTATTTGTTTTATTTGGTTAAAATAAATGAAATAGAGAAAAAAAAGTCTATATCTTCTTTAGGAGTTAAAAGAACAATCTTTTCTTTCAACTTCAAATTTTGTGTTTGGGCTCTAAAATGATCACGTTGTTCACTCGCTTGCTTCCATAGAAAAATGCATTTATATTTTTATTCAACTTCCCCCCAATTTTCTGATCTATGATCTACAGAGCATACTGGGAAAATGAAATTCCTCATTAGAAGGAGACAGAAACTGAGACAAACTTAAAGGAAATAAGTGGATGGAAATATTGGGTTGGGGGTAGGGGTTGTGCAATCCCTTTCATAAAAGGTTCTTCCAACAGCAGTGAATAATTGTCCGAAAGATAGTGGTTGCTGATTTTTAAAAAATTAGAATTCTCTGCTTGATTCCAATAAGGAGGTCTTAGAGTCAGCAGAACCTAGTTATTTCGAGATGTCTAGGAATCCATTCATATAAGATGTCTGAAGAGTGAAGGAGTACTTGTTTTGCATATATGTATACCATTGTTTTCCACATATATAGAGCACTGGGATTAATTTTTTCAAACTTTTTAAGTGCATTAAAATTTATGAAATTCAACATAGGTATTTGTCATGTATTTACTTCTCAGTCGTTGAAAATGAAAAGACCATCTACTATTATGAGATGGGTCACAATATTTTACTTTTATATTGAACATATTCATTGTATTCTAAAAGATTGGAAATCAGAGGTCAAGGTAATCAGGCTATTAACACAGATTACAACTTTATTTCTTTATGGCTGTATGAAGTTTTTTTAAATTTTATTTATTTTAATTTAATTTAATTTATTTTTTGAGAGAGAGAGAGAATGAGGATGGGGAGGGCAGAGGGAGAAGCAGACTCCCTGCTGAGCAGGGAGCCCGAAGCAGGGCTCCATCCCAGCACCCTGGGATCATGACCTCAGCCGAAGGCAGACACTCAAACAACTAGCCACCCAGGCATTCCCATATGAAGCATTTAGACAAAAACTTCTATCTCCTTTATGCTTGATATTTAACTTGAATGATTGTCACTTTTTTTTTTTACTGTTAATTGCTTAATTTGACAAATATGTTTTGCACTCTTACCAAATGCCAGTCGCTTTTCAGGTACTGGGGCTACAGCAGAGAACAAAACAAGCATACATCCTTGCCCTCATTCAGATGGGGAGCAAAGAGATAGACAATAAATGAAATAAACATATAGTATATTAAAAAGTGACAGGGTTATGGAGAGAAAGAAACAAGGGAAGGAGGATAAAGAGTAGTGCAGGCAAGGCACAATTTTTAAAAAATTGGTCCGGGAAGGTTTCACTGGGAAGAAACCTTTGAGCAAAGACCTGAAGAAAGTAAGGAGTGCACCATATTGATACTCAAGGGAAGAGCAAGCAGGCCGAGGAACAGCAAGTGCCAAGACCTGGAGGCAGGAGCTGCTTTTAGACTTTAATAAGAGCAAGGAAGCCCTCATGGTTGCCATAGTCTGGGGGAGTTTGTGAACAATAGAAAATGAGGTAGAGAGGAAATAAAAGGAGAGGCAGATCACGTTGCCTTGGAAGGACATTCATTGTACTTGAGCAAAACTGAAGCCACGAAAGCTAGCCATGGTTAATTAAAGTCTTTGTGGGAATTATCTTATTGCATAGGTGAATTGTTTATAACCTACATTAACACTGTATACAGAAATATTCTGTAGTGCTTGGTGGCCATTTCCTGCAAGTCATTTATACTTTACTCTGTAGACTTGTACTATGTTTAACAGATTCTCTTTTTTCATGATATAAACAAAAATTGATGTTTAAATCCATTTTCACATAATCAAAATCAATAGTTCTGTAATCCAAAACAATAGTTTTTAACCCTATATAGAGTGTGAAATAAAGTTGGTATGTACATGCTACAGATAAAATTTTAGGAATGTGATTACAAAATAATGAGACCAATTCTATAAAACATCCATGGAAAATAACATCACTTTATTTTATATAGTAAAAATTTAAAGGCTTTATAATGTTTGCATATTACCTCAAATATGTAGATTTACATTAATTTACTTTTCTCCTCCTCTCTTACAGGAAAATATACATGCAAGAGTAAGTACTTTTGTTTTAATAATAGAAATCAAATGTAAAGATAATGGGGGGGAGATGGGGTAACTGGGTGATGGGCATTAAGGAGGGCACTTGAAGTAACGAGCACTGGTTTTATATGCAACTGATGAATCACTGAATATCTCTGAAACTAGTAATACACTATATGATAATTAAATTGAATTGAAATAAAAATTTTAAAAAAGATCATGGAGGAAAAAGCTGTTGAGTATTTCTGAAAATTAGAATTTTTGGTTTTTACAATTATGTTTATTGTTTTTAATACATTATTTCCAACTTTGAGGTGATCGTACATATTAAATTATCTCATGTCTTTTACAAAATGTTTTAGAAGAATCCTGGGGTATAATTTATTCAAATCACAAGTTTCCTAATGCCAGGAACTCTTTAGGAACTGCTCATCACACATATGTTTAGCACTCTTAATGTGTCCAAAAACACATCTTCTTAAGAACAACATTAGACTTAAAAAAAATCTCAGATTAATACCATAAGGTTTTTGAAGTTTCTGTAGACTAATGTAGAAAAGAAAAGATTCTTCATGCATTATAGTAAATATTGGGTTTCTTCTAATTTAGACTCTTCTATGATTTACAGAGAAAAAAATCAAACATACCTATGTAATATGTTTAACATATATAAAATATTAAGATGAAATAACTTGTCACTAAGACAATACAAAAATGATCTTATAAAAATAGCACACACACACTTTGGAAGACGTCCATTTTTATAGAAGGGAAGCATGTCTAGTCTAATGCTGAAAGGATGATATTGGCTTAAATACAAACTCAAATTTACCAGGACTTGAAAAAAGGCACATATTTGGTTTAGTGTGGTCAGCAATAATCTAAGGGCCTGAGTTCCTAGCCTGTGTGTTTGCTTGTCTAATGTCTTTAAGTATGTGTGTGCCTTTGTATTCTAAACTCCTGAAACTGTATATCAGGAAATAAAAACCTCACAAAATAAAAAGTATATTAACTTAAGCTGTAAATACCTGTCATTCATGTTTTGTTCCAGAGCAACCATTAAGAAAGACAGAATTCCAGAAGTGAGGTTCAAGAACCAGGCATCCCTCATACAGGGGATTGAGAAGTTAGTTTCTGACATTCTGAATGGGCACCCAGTTCTCTCACTTTATCAGTCTTTTCTTTCAAAACGAAAAATACCTATATCCTATAGTGCAAACAGATGTGAGTCGTTTTGTTCAATGAGTTCCCAATTCTGAGACCATCGAATTTGAAAACGTGCATAATGGAAGGGGGCCTTTGTCCTTTCACACGTTGGGGTCTTCCTGGCTTCTCTTTGGTGATAGCTGGCGTGGTTGGAGGGGCTGGGAAGATGGCCATCTCACGAAAAATTCTGTGTCCCTGGCGTTGTACCGAGGACTGGAGATTCACATAGAAGAACCATGTGAATTACTGAAGAACTTCCTGTGCTACAAATTCTGCTCTGGTTTCTTTCCCTAAAGCTTAGGTCTTTTTAACCAAAAGACCAGAAAGAGAGAGAGAGATTCAGAGCAGAATGAAAGATTCTTTGAAAACAGTTAGCATGCATGGGCTCCTACACATAGAATACTTACAACAAACTACATTGTATCGAAATACTTGCTTAAAAAATGGCACTAGCTTTGAGGATACTCCTGCTGGGTGGGAGTTAGCAGGCTTCGGATGCCCCCTCTAGTCTATTCTATACATCAAGAACTGGAGAAGAGGATGAACAAGCACAGCGTGTGGCTGGATGCGCATCAAAGTCATACTTGCTGTGCGTTATTTTCCTTCCTGCTTCTCCCACTCTGGTCATGAGGCGCACATGCTGCTACATAAAAGGGTAAAAGTCAATGTCAAGTGCTTTGTAATTGTTTGGCTCCTTAGCAGCTACAGCCAGGAATATTGCAGCCAAGAGTGTATTTAGGAAATGTGGGGTTTTAGATGCTTCAAAAAAAAATTCCTTACTTATGGAAATGGAAAATTGGGTGTGGGTTCATTTTTTTTTACAATCTACATTTTTAAAGATACAGAAAAAGACAAAGATATTTCTAACTTCAAAAATGTTTATCTTGAATTATAATCTTATGCAAACATCAAAGACAGTACTAAAGGGACAAGAATCATAGAATCCTGCACCAAAAAGTCCCCTGAAGAGCATTTGTTACAAGTCCCATGTTCTAAAGCAGAAAAACACAACTATCTTAAATTTAACTCTCTCCAGAGATGCCATGTTTCACCTTTATGCTTTTACACTTTTTTATATGTGTTCTGTGTCTTGACCAGATATTCCCACCTTTGGATTCAGGGTTTCTACTGATCGCAAAATGTTATGTTATTTCTCCTTTCTTAAGCTTTATATTTTTAAAATTATTAAAGAAACACTGTGAAATATAGAAAATCAAAATGAAGACTATGAATAGAATCAGTAGTCACAATCCAGAGTTAACTATTGTAACATTTCATGAGTCACTCACTTTACTGCAATTTTTTCTATACACACACATGCACACTCACATGCATGCGCGAGCGTATTGACTAACATAGGACCGCTATATATTTCCTGTATGTCAACTTATTACCTCATTCATCAGTATATCATGGACACCTTTCTATGTCAGTAAATATAAATCCACATTGTTTTATGACTGCATAATATTTTATCTGATGTACATACCATAGTTTAGTTTACCGAACTCTTATAGATACTTGAAGATGTCTCTCTGTCCTGTAAAGATTGATGTTATGTGTTTATTCTTATAAATGATCTTTGTACAATAATTTGACTTTCTTAGAATGAGTTTCCAAAAGTGGAATTTCTAGATCAAAGGGCTTTTGATACTCACTGCCAGAAAATTTAAGCAAAGTTGAACTCATTTATATTCCTACTATTTGTATATGAATTGTCCATTTATCTCCTATCTGCCAGCGCTAGAAACAATTAATATGTGTCTCTTTACTACTTGTGGCAATGTGGAAGGCCAAAAATAGTATTGTATTGTTTTAATTTTCACTAATAATAATCTTGAGCATTTTTCATGTATGGTTAACCATTTGTATTTAACTCTAATGGATTTTTTTTTATTGATTACTTTTATTGAGATGTTTATGTTTTCCTAGTTACTGATAGTGGCTCTTTAGCAAGTGTATTAACCCTTTTTCTGTCTTATATGCTTCCAGCTTATCATTTGACTTTTAACATAGTTTATCACTGCTTCTGTGTTTGTTTTTATCTATACAGTATTACAGAGCTAAAATTTTTTTAAGATTTTATTTTTTATTTATTTGAGAGAGAGAGAGAAAGAGCAAAGCACATGAGCCAGGGGAGGAGCGGAGGGAGAAGCAGAGGGAGAAGCAGGCTCCCCACTGAGCAGGGAGCCCGATGTGGGACTTGATCCCAGGACCCCGGGATCATGACCTGAGCTGAAGACAGATGCTTAACCAACTGAACCACCCACGTGCCCCTTACAGAGCTTAAATTTTAAAATAAATTTACCACTTTTTTTCTACTGTTGCTTTTAGAAATTGTGTCCTGCTCAAAAATTCTAAGATTATTTTAAAGTGTAATTCCTGCTTCCTTCAACTTGTATAGTTTCATTTTTAACAATTAGATCTTTGATCTATATGGAAATTATTTTGGTGTAAAGAATTCATTTTTGTTATTTTCTTCTATATGGCTAGATAATTATCACAACACCTGATAACGAATAATTCATTTTTTTCTACCAAGTAGGAATGTTATATTTACTTAATTTTCATACGTACTTGTATTTGTTTCTTGATTTTCTATTTTGTGCTACTCTTCTGTACACATATGTACCCATATCAAGCTGCTTTCATTTCTGCAGCTTTATATTTTAGTATAAAATATAACTACAGTTGACCCTTAAACAACATGGGGGTTGGGGTACTGACCCCCATGCTGTTGAAAAACCATATATAACTTCTCTTCGGTGATAGCTGTTTTGGTTGGAGGGGCTGGGGAGATGGCTGTCTCATGAAAAATCCTGTGTCCCTGGCATTGTGCTAAGGACTAGAGATTCACATAGAAGAACCATGTGAATTACCAAAGAACTTCCTGTGCTACAAATTCTGCTCAGGTTTCTTTTCCTAAAGCTTAGGTCTTTTTAACCAAAAGACCAAAAAGAGAGAGAGAGATTCCGAGCAGAATGAGAGATTCTTTGAAAACAGTTAGCATGCACAGGCTCCCCCAAAACTTTACTAATACCCTGCTGTTGATCAGAAGCCTTAATTGAGAACATAATTAGTCAATTAACACATACGTTGTATGTTATATATATTACATACTGTGTTCTTACAATAAAGTAAGCTAGAGAAAAGAAAATGTTATTAAGAAAATCATAAGTGGGGGGCACTTGGGTAGCTCAGTTGGTTAAGAGGCCGAATCTTGATTCCGGCTCAAGTCATGGTTTCAGGGTCTTGGGATCCAGCCCCTTGCCGGGCTCTATTCCTAACGGGGAGTCTGCTTGAGGATTCTCTTTCTCCCTCTGCCCTTCCCTCCCAGAGCGCATGCTATCTCTCTCTCTAAAATAAATAAATAAATCCTAAAAACAAACAAAAAGAAAATCATAAGGAAGAGAAAATATACTCAGTCCTGTGCCTTATTTAGTGAAAAATTATCCAGGTATAAGTGGACATGCACAGTGCAAATCCATGCTGTTCAAGGATCAACTGTAATCTCAGCTCAATAGTCTTCCTTTTCAGAATTTTCTTGAATATTCTTCCAGGTTTCCTTCTTTAAAACATTTTTGTTTTTGTACAATTGTATGTACCATGATTTAAAAAGCCAAATAGTGGGGCACCTGGGTGGCTCAGTCAGCTCAGGTCATGATCTCAGGGTCCTCTGCAAGGAGTCTGCTTCTCCCTCTCTCTCTGCTCCTCCCCGCCCCACTCACTCTCTCTTTCTCTCTCTCAAATAAATAAAATCTTTAAAATAATAGTTCTACAGAATTTAAGAAAAATAGCAGTCCTCTCTTCTCTTACCTGCTTCTAAAGGACATAAGCATTTTCACATCTTTTAGTTAATATTTTGGTACTTACTTTCATGACTCTAAAAACATGTTTGGTTTTCCCTTCTTAAGTATTATGTTTTGACTTCCCCTGTGGAACACAAGAATTTGTCTCTCTCCCTATCCCATCTCCACTACACACACACACGCACGCACACACACACCCTCCCCAACTCTTCATTTTTCCCACATGGTTACATCGTCATTTGGATTGGAGCAGTAGTCAGTGTTTGATTTCTTATATTTGAGTATATCTAAGCAAATTTCTTTTCAGAGGTAAGCCTTGGAATAAACTGATTATTTGTTTTTCTGGGAGTTAACTATTTTATTTATTGTTTGTTTAATTTATTTTCATTTTCTTAGTTTTCTTTGTTCTAATCGTTAATGCCACACTCACAGCCAGTCATCTCTTAAGACAGCTAGATGCATTATGGATGCTATCAATTTCATCTCCCTAAAAAAGCCTCTCCCAGAGTCTTTCTGACCTGTTGAGTTTGGACTGGGTGACTGGGCACAGCTGTCTTTGAGGAACTTTTGTCATCCTGGAGAATCTTTTTATCTCTTTTCTGTTTTTAGTACATCCTTCAATACTTTCCTATGTTCACCAGGAATGCATGGGAAGTAAAATTTTAAGAAATTTTATATCCAAAAAATCTTTATTTTACCCTCACAGGTGATTTATAGTTTGATCAAGGATAGAATTTTAAATTAAAAATCCTTCATTTTCAGAATTTAAAGGTAATTCTTCATCATGTTCTAGCTTTCAGTGTTGCTATAAGAAATCTGAAGCTTGTTCTCATTCTTCACCATTTGTTTGTACGCATTTGTTTACATGTTTCTCTGAAGTATTGTAGGGTCTTCTCTTTGTCCCCAGTAGTCGGAAGTTTCATGAATTCCCAGGTGTGAATCCATTTCATCCATTGTACTAGGTACTCAGCAAATTCTTCCAGCGTGCAAACTCATGTCCTGTTCTTGAATTATTTTACCAATGATTTCCTCCCCATATGTGCTCTGTTCTCACTTTCCAGGACTCTACTTATTTCAATATTGGATCCTTTAGACCAATCTTCTAATTTTTTCACATTTTTCTTCTATCTTCTATCCCTTTGTATTTTTGCTCTTCTTTCTGGAAAGTTCCTGAACATTTTCTCCAACACATGTGAGATTTTATTTCTGCTATTATCCTTTTAATTTCCAAGAGCTCTTTCTTAGTTCTCCAAATGATCTCCCTTATGTGTAGAGCACCCTAAAAATTAGGCATTTCTTAAACAGGTTTCCAACCAGTTCTTATTCTAATCCCCACCTCCCTCTCTCTCCACTTCCACAGGTTCTCAGGGTCTAATTAATGAATTTTTGGAGGAATAATTAAATTATTGTCTCTCCGTACTACTGGTTCTCTCTGGTTTGAATCTCTCCGGTAATAAATCAGTTACCATTCATTCATGTTCTTTACATCTTCTAAAATTTGTTGATGGCTCTGTTTTTATTTCATAATTTTTTATCTGTGTCAAATCCTACTTGTTTATTTGTGTGTATAGCAATATACAGTTTTTTCTAAAATTGACTTAAGATGTTTTAAAAGGAGGGTGAATTGAAAATAAATTCAATAACAGTGTATATGGTTTGTGGTTACTGTAAAATTAATATTAAATTTAGGATACTTGTGGTCATAAAACAGAGGAAATTCAAAATAATATGATCAATAGTTGATTATTTTTCCTTCCTCTGTTTTCTCCCTCTAATTAAGATATATTGGCGTACCTCAACGTTGTATATCTGATTCTTTATCCTCCACCACTGTTTTTATATTGTTTAAATGTCATTTTTATTTTCATTATGAGACTGTTTTCTCGTATTTGATGCGAAGCTCATTATAGCAAAACTGGGTGTTGCTAAAACAAAGCCAGCTGTGTTTACTTGACTTTGTAAAGTCCTAATAAATCACAATGAGATTAGTGTAGCTATTTATGGTACTAAATACTTGCCAAAGCATTCATGATAAGACAGAGGAAGATGAAACAGAATTACCAATTAATGACTACCTTAGTTTTTAGTCTGGTGTATATGGGAAATTGTTACTTTCTGTTGGGAATACATGTGATAATGAGTGCTTGGCTGAGCTGGGTTATATCACACATAGGACTCATTTGCCTCTCACAGTTATCAGAACTTAATCTTACTGGAAGGGATTAGATGGGGTGAATGCCTGGAGTGTCATTATCTTAAAAGACGTCCTCTATCTTTTCTACCATATTGCTTGTCTGCATGATGCAGATATCAGAACATCATTGCTCGTCACTTGGGCTGTCCAAAGTACATGTCTGAAGACAAAAGTGTCTGGGAGATTTCTCATTTTTGAGAAAGCCTTTTGAAATATTTGCATTTGTAACACTTTTAAACAGTTTCATTTATAATTGTTATTATTGTCATTTGAAACAGACAAGGGAGAGACTAGAACTTTGAGTCAAAAAGTAGTGGAAAAAGAAGTAATGATAAGATGTGGACACAACTAAAAGGTTGAGTTTGGTTTTTTGAAAGATCTTAATAAGAAAGAAAAGAGGCAGCTCAGAGATACAAGTATGTCCTTTAATACATCTGGGGATATTTTTTGTAATCAAGAATTTGAAATATGCATATAACTATAGACCATGCTAATAAACTATCTTATTAAAATTGAGTTTTCTTTGATTGAGTTGTTTGATTATATTTCTATTTTGATGGCATTTTCAGTTTTTAGAAGATTAAATAAACTAATATTTGGTGATAGTCAAAGGAAACATGTAGAAGAAATTCTGGTCATATTCATACAAATAATATGATTTCTTCTGGTCAAGTTAATACTTTCTATATTCCAGACTTGTTTTTATTTAGGGGAATTATTTCTACTTAACTCTCTAAACTGTCATATTGTTGAAGACTCTTTGATTGAGATATATAAGAAAATGCTGTATTTCATATTCAAATGCTCTGCTTTTGATCAGTTAGAAAATATATTGTGTCGCTTTTTTTAGCATTCATAATAGATTTACATTTTTTCCCATCCATTTCACCCAGTCCTCCTGGAAACCAAAACATCTCCCTCTCCCTATCTCCCTCATTCCCTGCTTGCCATCCTGTCTTCTTACATCTTTTTACAACCCTTCTTCCCTTCCCTAAGAGATTTGATGTAAATGGGTAGAAAGTATAAGATAAATCATATTAAAACAGCTTTTTATTCCCTGTAGACCTTTAATATTTACTTTGATTTTCCTTAAAAAAAAATGTTGCCTTTTGGTTTGCTTCCGTCTTTTTCTATTATACTAACATTATTTTCTCAGCATGTGATAAAACGCCTCAGTCTATTATTCAGGACCATTGTGCAATGTTTTTGGGGAAAAAATTTAATGTAAAATCAAAGCACATTACAGAAAATCTGAAATTTATCGCTTCAATCTCCAAATATTCATTGAGAAAATACCATATGACATGCCAGAGACATAGTGATGACAGAGAAATTGAGCATAAACTGGTAAATAGGGAAACAAAATGATTCCAGAGAGTTGATAAGTGTTACAATAAAAATAAAGATGGGGAGATGTGACAGAGGGTGACTGGTTGTGTGTGTGTGTGTGTGTGTGTGTAAGCATGTGTGCACATACACATGATCATCAAAGTTTATTAGTTTCTCATTTGTCAAATGAAGAGTTCAATTAGATGGTCTCTAAGGTGTTTTCAGACCTTTTCTGATGATAAACTTTTCTAATCTTGTCCAAAGTTTTTTAGATCTATTCATCATTCCAATGATGTGGTAAGTTATCTATATTAATATTTAGAAATAATAACTGAAGAATAAAAAATTCACCTACTAGGATTTGAAAACCATCTATATTCTTATCTACTAAAACAAAAACAAAAACAAAAACAAAACCCAAAAACCAAAGCCAAATAAACAAAAGACCTAAAGGAAAACAACTGAGTATATCTGTCCACCAGAGGGGATTCAAAGCACAGTTTCTACCCATGTCCATTTATAGTGTCTCTTTATTTGCCTCTTTCCATAAAAAGGCTTTTAGAAACCACTGACTTCTCATTAAAAAAACGAATGACAGTGAGTTGCACAATGACATGACCAAGCTTCTAGCTTTTTTACTTCCTGTGAACTGCTTGGCTAGTTGGAATTGTTCTATTCTCATTTCAGAAGCTCCTAAAGGAAGAGTCAGGCATGAGTGCTCACTTTTGTGTAGCCATTTGAAGATTTATTGGCTAAGAAGTATTCCACATGGAAAATCATGGAAAGTCATGTGAGAGCAATGATTAGTGATAGTGGTGGTATTAATAATTAATTTAGAGAACTGTTGCATTTATTATAAATTTCTTTTGGGGACTGTGGTAGAACCTCTGAAACATTATGAATTCAACTATTCAATTTGGTAGAACAGAGCAGACGATGCTTTCTTTGGACTATACTTGGCAAGTCATCTTTTTAAATAATGAATTTCTTTTCCTCACTAATAATCACAAAAATACCATCAGTAAAATGCATTTTTCTTGGTTATCATGGAAAAATGCATTCTAAAATTATTTACCACTATTATTATGAATCTTGTTATTTTAAAAAAAGGTGTAAATGGAACATGGATGGAAATCCTGCTTTGAGTCCTTCTTGGTGGACAGATACACTCATGTGTTTTCTTATTGGTTTTTGCTTAGGAGTAGGGTCTTTCAGCCTAGCTTCTCTCTGTCATCCATTGCTCTTGCTTCATTTTTTTTTAGAAAGTGTAGGCAGCCAAGTGGAGAAAAAAATAAAGGAGAAAAACGGTTTCAGAATTTATCATAAAAAATCACAAAAATGAGGAGTTAATAAGACAAAAGTCTGTGAAGCTGATATTATTTGTTTCTATTGTAGAGGCAAGCCAAACTTACTGGACATGGGCTCTTTGATGATCAAACCAATCCAGCGTGTAATGAAATACCCCCTCTTACTGTGTGAACTCCGGGGCTCCACCCCTCCCTCTCACCCAGACTTCAGGGCGCTGGGAGATGCTTTCACTGCAGTAAAAGACATTAATGTGAACATCAATGAACTTAAAAGACGGAAAGATTTAGGTAAGAAGAGACATGATGAATTGAGTGTTTTCTGTGATTGGGGTGTTATGCTTATACTTCTGAGAATCAAAATATCTAAGTAGTTATAGCAGTTGCAGTGATCATGATCATTTGATACCTAGAGTTAGAGGCTAAGGAGCAGAGTAGTTTGCCTGGCCAGCTGGATTCAGGAGATCATGAGGCACAAAAAAAAAAAAAAAAAAAAGACAATTTAAAAAAAAAAATCAAGCAGCCCTATACTCAACCTCTGTTGACCACTGCATGCCTGGTGACATACTGTGGGCTGAAAATACCATAGCACATAGACCTACTGTCACTGGCAATATGTGTGGGAAGAAGGAGACATGGCATGGCCAGGAAGTTGGAGCAGTGAGAAGCTCCAGCCAAATCAGTGGTGAAACAGGCCCAGCTTGATGTATTCATCAAGCTCATCTGGTTCTGGCACATAAAGAATGGAGATTTTCTAGCAATAATTGCCCCATTGAAGGGAGCAAATATATTTCTTTCTCAAATTATGAAATTATTGTTAGGTATTTGTTAGCCAAGATGTAAAATTCACGTCTGAAGTGGAATGTAGATTTCAAAACAGGAGGCACAATTACATAGTTTCTGTCATCCCGGATATAGTAATGCATCAGGATAGATTGTGTGGGTCCTCTGTCAGTGTGATTTGTGTCTGTTAGTTCTTAATTGGCTTTGTACTTCTAACATTAAATCTCAATTCAACATTACAGCAATGGTAGGACATTGGCGCTAAGTGTTCCAACAACTTCATTTATTTTTATTGTTTTTATTTTCCAAATTTTTATTGGAAAAATAGTATGTATTTGTATTAATAAACTAAAATTATAAAGAAGGGCCTAGAGTAAAAAAAGTGAAAGTTGTAGAAGTTGTAGAAGTTGAAGAGATGCCATAAACAAATTAAAAGATAGTCCATAGGCAAAGGATGAATATATAATTACTGATATTAAATCAATAATAAAAACATTCTAATATAAAAAAGGTTAATAATAAAAGGAAGCAATTCAGAAAGACCAATACATTTTTAAACACTAAGCTTCATCTATAAGGAGAGAAATGCAAATTAAAATTACAATGACATACCATTCCCATCCTATCAGACTAGCGAAAAGATTTTTTAGGGATAACGTTAGGTGCTGAATCTCAACCTGCAGGTGAGAATGTAGTGGGAATCACCACTAAGGAGAACAATTTGACAATATCTAGTAAAGTTGAAGATGCCCACACCTAAGACTCAGAAAATCAATCTCTAGATATTTGAGAAACTCTTTCCCATATGCTCATAGACAGGTATACTAGTAACTACTATTGTTCATAAAAACAAGAAGAAAATAGCTTACATATTTATCCAGATAATGGACAGACTGTGTATTGGACACTATGATACCATGAGAACATAAAAATTAAAATGCATGTGTCAATTGAATAAACCTCAAAAACACAATATTGAATTTTCTAAAAAGTAAATTACAAGTGACAGAAGAATATATATACGCAATATGGTGCATTTGTATAAACATTGAAAACATTCAAAACAATACTATGCATTGTACAAATCCATATACAATAAATGTGTAAAAATAGATACAGATATAGTCAACCCCATTCTTTAGGATCATAATCCCCTTAAAGGGACCAAAGATGGGGATCAGAGAAACTTCAGCTGATTATTTTTATGAAGATAAGCAAGGTGAAATGTTAGGATTTGACAAGGCTGAAAGAAAATTGTTATATTATTATTTTTACTTTTCTGTTTGCTTAAACTCCTTCACAGTGTTAAAGTGGAAAAATTTTCCACTCCCATGATTCCAGTTTGCATAGCTGACATGTCATAAGTTTTCTTCAGACTTTCTATGTTTTTTTTTCTATTTTCTTTCTTCTTTCTCTTTCTTCTCCTTCTCTCCATCTGTCCTGAACATGTGTTGCACTACAGTTTGCTGGGCTTGGTTTTTAAACTTAATTACATATCATGAACATTCTTCCAGTTAATATTGGCCTTCTTTTTAATGATTCCCTGGTATTCTGTTTCTGAGTGTGTCCTAATTTAGTTAACTCTTCCTCTGTGGATAAACTTTCTGATGGTTTCCAATATTGTGCTATTGGAAAAAAAAATGCTGTAGCAAACAAAACTTTGTATGCTTGATTATGGAAAGCAAATTCTCTGCACGGACTTCCTGGTCATAGACAATACGTTTAGAAGATTCTGCCCAAATGTTCTCCACAAAAACTGTATTGGTTTAATCCTCACCAACAGTGTGTAAGATTGCCCATCTCCCAGCACACTGACCAAAACTGAATGTTAGAAATATTTAACATTTTGAACAATATGAGAGGTGAAAGTGATCTTAAAGATAAAAAGATAAAGCTCAGAGAGGTGACTCAACTTACCCCAAAAGTCTCAGCTAGTGGAGAGCCACTCCAGAGTCTGAGGTCTCCTTATGCTCGGTGCAGTCTTCTTAGCTAGGCTTTGATGCTTCATTCTAGAGACTGAAGATAACAAATGTATTATCTGAGAAGAGAGAAAGTTTTTCTCCAGTGTCGGAGATTTCTTTAACATGGAAGGTAAATGGACCATGGGCTTTGAGGAGCTCAAGCCCCTGGACAGCTGAGTTTTCAGTCAGTGGGTTGGGCAGCTGGACTTATGCTCAGGCAACGGGGCCGGAGCATATTGCTTCTGCGTCAGAGGGTCAAAAATCACATAGATTTCTATCTTAAAAATGGATCTTGAATTTTTTGGATGAAACACACACTTTCTATGTTGCACGTGTTCAGATATGTGATTGCATTCTTCTATTTCAGTTCTAAAATACAAGAAGAATGATGAGGAGGAATCACTTAAAGATAAATTGTCTAAACTAAACATTCATTCAATTAGCAAGAAATCAAAAAGAGTGACAAATCACCTAAAGATTCTAACCAGAGGAGAACCCCAGGTAATTTTTCTTCTTCGGCCATATACATCCTCCTGGAGCGTGTGAATGCTGATATTTTTGTGAGGGTTTTGTTGGTTGTTATCAGAGCTGTTTCTAGAACACTGAGAATCAAGGTCATTGCCTGATGCTGATTCTTTCTTTCTCCCTCTCTTGGGGGAAATGGAGTGTGGGTGGTTTTGACACTATTTTAGCTATGGTGCTTCCACTCAGGAAGCAAAGGAGAGAAAAGGACGTGAAGACAGGGGTCAATGTGGGATGCCCCAGACGTCCTAACTCTCACCATCAACCAGTACATGATCGCACCCAAGGCAATGTCCTCCTTTCATCCCTAACTTATTATCTCTGCTTTTTAAAAACCTCACTTTCCTTTTGGGTTCCCTTAATATTCATCTTATCTTTATTTCACCTATTTAAGAAAAGGGGGTTTAGGTGCCTACCTTAGTGGACTGCCTTGACCCTCTTCCTCTCTCTGCACCCCCATGCACGTTATATTACTGGGCAATTTTTCTGTGTCAGCTGTTTAGCCTGGTTTGAACCACTTTCATCTCAACCCCCAATAAATAATGGATGGATTAGCAAAGGCTCTCAAACTTTAAGGGGTGGAACAATTACCTGAGGAGCTTGCCAAATGATTCCAGGGCTCCACCTGGTTCAAGGGTGCAACCTAGTGGTCTGCATTTTTACAAAACTCCAGGTGTTTTGAAGCTAAATGACCTTGAAGTAAGTGACCAATGGAACACACTTTGAGAATCACAAGATAGAAAGTTCATGGCCTGGAGATGGTAATTCACTGGGCTTCTAACCAAAAGAAGGCAGGGCAGTTCTTAAGATGGTACTTTTTTTTCTTCTCATTTGCCTGATTTCATCACTTATTATGTTAACATTTCTAAGGTTTTTAGTTTGAACTAGAGGCTACCGTATGGTAGTTCAGCATTGGTTTTCTTTGGCTTGTCCTATCTACTTCACTCTTTAGCGGACATGGTCTTTTTCCTTTTTTCCATTAAGTCTTTGCAGCTTTCTGACCCTAAGGTAGTAGTGGCCTCTTCCTCTTCTGAATGCCTGGCAAGCTTGCTCAGTGTTTTCCAATCCTGGAACCGTGAACATTTGCCGGAGTCAGCACAGGGCAGAAAGTAAGGGCCAAGTCTTTGAAGTCATCCAGATCTGGATTAGAACGTCACTTCTGCCACTTAATCAATATATGCCTTTGGGCACATAGCTTAAATCCAAGGGAGTCATCAAGATTATACTAGGACCTACCACGTGGAGGGCTTGTGAGGATGAAATGAGGTGATGCATATGAAGAAAGTACCTAACACAGATGGTAAGCACTCAATACGTATTGGCTATCATCATCATCATCCTCATCATTTCATATCACTACAGTGTAGTACTGCTTACCAACTTTTAATGTACAGACTTCTTACTTCTCACATACATATAAATTCCTTTATGCATGGTGTATTAGGTTTTTTACTTTCTGTATTTTATAATGTTTTGACATCTTGAAAAAGTTGCTGGGCCCTGAGAGATGCTCCTCCCAGGGCTAATCCATTCTTAGAGAAAGCAAAGGGCTCAGCTGGGATCAATTCTTTCATATGCAAACCAAGCCCTGAGTCTATAGCCCCCCACACGTTCTAATCTATCTCTTACACACCAAGCCGGTGTTCTTCTGCCTTAAATCATCCTAGGACGAGGTACCAGGCAAGTAGAAACCACCATGAAAGCCCAAAGCCCATGGGAATTACCCAAACTGGCCCATCCTAAACTGTTTATCCTGATCAGCTATTTCTGTAGGGTTGCCCACAAAAACCACAATAAAGGCTCTGACCTTGACTTTCCCCTTGCTCCTTTCTGCCACATGACCAAAACCAGTGATTGCCCTATGGCCCTATATGGCATGCAGTGGCCTCCTCTTTAGGACTTGTCAGTATAATCAACTTCTTCCAAGCCTTGTTTTTGTTTCGTCTTGTGGCTGTACTTCCTTCCTATTCCATATCCAATATGGACATTCTTAGAATCCGTGGCATGTATCATTGTTCTTAATACTTCTTTGTGTTTTTCTAGGGGCTCACTGGGTCCATTGCATGCAGGAAGTAACTCCAGGCCCCTCTCCCAATGCGAAACTATAATGTGTGAAGTTTGGGACATTATGGTGTATGGTCACCAATCAGGGAAAGGAAAATCAAGACATTTGAACTAAAAGCAACAGTAATAAAATTGGATTGGGAATTCAGTTTGAGAGAGACTGTAGCCTCCATAGGCATGTGTAAATGTCATGCACACAATTCTCCCCTACTCTTTAGATTGTTGCTTCTGACTTAAGACAATTCTATTGAGGAACAATAGGGAAGTCTTAATTCTGAGCAGGTTTTTGTAGAAGCTGTTACATTCCTTAACATATTTATCATCAGCTTCTGATATTTTCCAATTGTGGAGTAAAAGTGAATTGTAGGTAAAGTGGCCTGAAGGGATATTAATTAGATTTTCCCCTTAATCTTTTGAGAAGATGGCCTGTCAGCAATGAAGCATTTCACTGTTAATCAGAAAATCAGCTGCATAGGCTGAACTGCAGAAGAGATAAATCTCAAATCAGTCAATTTTGCACTTGTCAGCAGCTCAAGTGAAATATTTGGTGGAGTTAGGGTATAAAACTATTACCCAAGAGGAAGATTCTATTCAATTCATCACACATGTATTGAACTCTATGTACCAGACACTGTGTTAGAGATCGAGAATACAAAGAAATTCTGAATTCAGACTCCCTGGGTTTGAATCCTGGTCCTACCTATTAACATGGGTAAATTTCTTTAACTTTCTATATTATTTAGGGTAAAGGCCAAGCTCCTTTCACAAAGAGATTCCAAAACAAAGTAGCTGAAGCTGGATAGTCATTTCTTTCTCTCTCTTACAATAGTCCTGAGATGTGGGCTGTGCTGCACAAAATTCTGTAGGAACCCAATTGTCCCCAATTGGAGGGTTTTGCTGTTCCCCAAACATGCTGTCTTCAGCTGCTTGGTTGAAGTTGGGTCACCACTGTGCCTTCAGTCTTGTACCAAGGACAATGCTGGAAGGCCAAAATTCAGAAATGAAATACGTCACTTAGCTAACATCTATTTACCCAAACCAGTTACGAGGGGAGAACCAGCGGCAGGGGAGGCTGGAAGGGGTAGTCGCTGGCTGGGCAGCTATGCGTCCAACTTAAACTAGAGGTGCAAACGTTGTCAGTAAAAGGATGTTCCCCCGTCATCAACTATCCCTGCCACAGCTCCCAAGCTTCTGTTTATCTCTAAAATGGGATTAATTGTGGCACCTATGCTGTAAAGTTTTAGAAGAATTAAAATGAGAAAATGGAAAGCAGGTTGTAGCACCATGTCTGGAACATAGTTAGTGTTTAATAAATGTTAGCTATTATTTTTACTAAGACAAAAAATAATCCCAAAGGCTTGCCATTTATCAGTGGAGAGAATCACTTAATTAACTAGTGTTGTGAGAGCACATGGGGGAGCAATTAATTTTCTACGGTGAAAAAAACAGGAATTCCAGGGAGGTTTCATAGAAGGGGTGACAGTTGAGTCCTTAAAAAAATTAAACAGATATTTGCCATGCAGAAAAAGGGACAGCAGCATATTCCAGCAAAATAAGACAGCATGAGAAGGGCTTGGCTATAGGAATGTAGAACTGGACAATATTTCTCATACTGTGATCCCTGGATCTCTTATTTTAGAATCATCTGGATCTCTGCCAAGATACACAAAATAGCTGGTGAAGGGTCCTTGAAACCCTCATTTAAAATAATCTGCCCCAGTGGTGCCTGGGTGGCTCAATCGTTAAGCGTCTGCCTTCGGCTCAGGTCATGGTCCCAGGGTCCTGGGATCCAGCCCCAGATCGGGCTCCCTACTCAGCGGGAAGCCTGCTTGTGTTCCCTCTCTCGCTGTGTCTCTCTCTGTCAAATAAATAAAATCTTTAAAAAATAAAATAAAATAAAATAGTCTGCCCCAGCATATTGTTCTATACATCAAACTAGATTAGAGCATAGAGATCATAAGGCAGATGGTATTGAATGTTGTGTGAATTACAAGGAACTATGCCACCTATTTAATCAAAAGCTTTTTAGATAAACAATATTAAGGGGTTTAAAAATAAAATAAAATATCACTATTTTCTGTGCATTCAGTTCTAAGGCCAATGATCCTCCCCACCCCACCCCCCACCAAGGTCAACCATCTTAAATTAACAGACCTATGAACAGAGAGCAGCTATGGTTACTACCCAGGACCAAACCAAAGAATACCCACCATATGCCACAAATCATTTGCATGTTCACACAGATTTTGGCAGCATGAAGCTGGTTCTGCTCTTCTTTTGTCACCATTAGGATAGCCAAGAAATACTTCTCACCATTAATACTAATAATTAGGGTCTTATCAATAAAATAAAATATCAAAAAATAACTGAACACATGTGACTACTCTCTTAACTCTGCTGAGTTTTCCCCACAAAAGGACTCTTTTGGCCAAGATCACATTCAACCTTTCAAATTTGAGTTGGTAAAGAAGTACCGCATTTTTTAGCCAAGAAGCTAAGTATATTTTCTAAATAACCACGGTGAAATTAATTGGGATGAGTCATAGCAACAAAACAGTAAGTTCCAGTCAAGAGATGAAATGTTGGGCTCCTGGGTGGCTCAGTTGGTTGGGCGACTGCCTTCAGCTCAGGTCATGATCCTGGAGTCCCGGGATCGAGTCCCGCATCGGGCTCCCTGCTCAGCGGAGAGTCTGCTTCTCCCTCTGACCCTCTTCCCTCTCGTGCTCTCTATCTCTCATTCTCTCTCTCTCAAATAAATAAATAAAATTAAAAAAAAAATAAAGCACACACACAAAAAAAGAGATAAAATGTTCCGGGCGCTTGCGTGGCTCAGTCCTTGTGCGTCTGCCGGCTCAGGTCATGATCCAGGGGTCCTGGGATCGAATCCCACATTGGGCTCCCTGCTCGGCCGGAAGCCTGCTTCTTCCTCTCCCACTTCCCCCTGCTTGTGTTCCCCCTCTCTGTGTGTCTCTCTCTGTCAAATAAATAAATAAAATCTTAAAAAAATATGAAATGTTCATCTTATTTAAATTTTGATTTTTTCTTGTATTAATTATTTTACGAACCCACAAATGGGGCATATTTTCAGAGTACATATATAATATATGCCATTAGAAACTGCAGAGAAAGTTTTACCTGCCCCAGCTACCATCACATAGACGGAGCTCTGTGAAAGCCAAACGGCGGATTAACCGGCAGCGTGCGGCTTCGCCACACTAACTGAAGCTGCGCTGTGTGCTTGTACACAGCAAGTACTGTGCTAAGGCAGTCAGCATGACATGGAAGGTTTTCTTCTCAACCACGGGTCTCTTTGTCATGTGCTGGGCTAATACAGCCTGTGATATTTCTTTAAAACACCAGATTTGTTCGAGTTATAAAAATAAAGAATTTCATCTACATTATAGGTGAAAGACAATACCTTCAATAGAGAAGAAAAGCTGTTTAGATCTTTAGAAAAGACGGTGAGGCATTGCGTGAAGAACATTTCCCTCTGTCTTCAGCATATCCAGGTAGGTAAGACAACCGGTTCCAGTGTTTCTACGAGAAGGTATTGATGTCCACGGTTATTCTGAAGAGCACATGTGAATGTTCGTGCATTTATGTGATCGAATTTATATGATAAAATTCACTGATACTGTATCAAATTTGGGAGACTGCAAACTGCCGGTGAGGGAAGCCAGTATAAGGATGTAGATTTTGTTCTTTGTTCCCGTGTCTGCTCCGTCCTTCTCCCAGTTGAAGTCGCCATGTTGTGGGACATAAGCTCACATGATTGCCACATGGTGGTGGACCATCAGCACGCTTTCCTTTTAATAGAGATGAGTTCATTAATACAAAATTGATTTGGCAGAAATTTTCTTTATTTGTTGGATTATACTAACATATCCCTTTCTAGTACCTAAAACACATATTTGCAAATTTAAAAGTGGTACTGAAAGAAAAAAGGAAATCAAAGGGGGACATAAAATGAAATTAGAGAACTAAAGAGCAAAAAGAGCAGAACATAAAGGCCATATAAAAACTGCAGAAACCCACATGTGGATCTCAAATTTACCTGTAAGTCTTTGAGAAGCCACCTTAAAAAAAGGACATACAATCACACAACCCTAGATGAACAGAGCACGTCTATTTATTTTATAACTGGTGTTTCATGATGCCCCCTTTAGAGTTCTGAATGAAATTCACAGGTAATTCAATCTTAGGTAGGTAGGTCTACATGAAAGAAAATCAGTGTAAAGGAAAATTCTTACAACATAATAAGAACTACAATATGCAAATACACCTACACAACCATAGTAGAAGAAAAAAACAACCCCACTAATTTCCAATCCCCCAGGAAGTTTTCCCGCCCTTGTTGAGAATCACTGACAACCAGATCAATTGAAGTGCAGTATAATTATATTTAGTAGAGACAGAATGGATCTCATAAAGAAGACATAGTATCCTCAACAACATCTTGATAATGGTCATGACTGGGAGATGTAGACAATTAGTAGAATTCCACGTAACTGAGTTAACAAATGACCCCCTTCCCATTTTCCAGTTTTTATCTTGGATATCTATTTTTGAAAGCAGATGTTTGCATGCGTAGGTAAATTATCATACCAAAAGAGGATTAGGTTAACAGGCATGATGATTTGGAAAAAAGGTTCTATGTTATGTAACCAAGAAGCCACATTCCTTTCTCATTTATTAACTGACGCAAAGCCTGATTTTCCAATCAGGTTTGCTAATCTCTTCCTAAAGCTCTGCTTTCTGTGAAAAGAAAACCAAAACTCAGTTATAACAGCCAGACAGAGCAGTGGGGACCCTGTCCTTCATATACATTTCATGAAGTGAATGCAACTTGGGAACAACTGTAGGAAAGTCTTCTATTTCTACTAACCAGTTCAACAAAAACATGAGCATCTTCTTTTAAAAATTCACTAGGGGAAACTGAAGACATAAATCAAAAAGGAGTGATTTCTAAAATAAGGGGTTCAGTAAGACCTGAATGCTGAAGAATGGCCAATGAGGGACCTTAGGATGGAGTCCACTTAATAGAGAAGTTGTCGTACAGAGCAGTAGGAGAAAGTGACGGGGAAAATAAGAAAAGAGATTGTTACACATAACCTCATTGTACAGAGTATTCATGACTTTTTTTTACTTCCTTTTTTTCCTTTTATCTCTCCGTGGTAATGGAGGGCTATGATGATGAAGTACACACTTGGGATATATTTAATTGTATGGAACTTCAGAACTTGGCCCATTTTGTGACTTTGTCCCTGGGTTTCAGGATGCCATGCCCCTAGCGCTGCGGAGTGTCATGGAGCTCCAGGAGATCTCATGCAACAAAGACAAGGAGGAGAGGAGCCATTCGGAGGCCCCAAGGAATGCCCTGAATCCCTGTGACGACTTTGTAAGTTATTTATATTCACAGATAGATTAGAAAGTGGGGTTAAGAGGAAAGCTGCTTTTTATTTATTTTTCTAGAGTTAGAAATAAAACAGGCACTAAAGCAAATACGAATGTCAAAATCAGTAGATTTAAACAGGAAGGTTTTTTTTTTCATTATTAACTATTTTAAAGTGAGTTAGTGAAGATTTTTTACTATGATCAAAATTTAAGAGTGTCCCAGACTGTGTTTCTAGGAGTAGTCAGTGTAGCCTTTATTTTTTTTTTAAGATTTTATTTATTTATTTGACAGAGAAAGAGAGCACAAGCAGGGGGAGCGGCAGGCAGAGGGAGAAACAGGCTCCCAGCTGAGCAAGGAACCCAATGCAGGACTCGATCCCAGGACCCTGGGATCATGATCTGAACTGAAGGCAGACGCTTAACCGACTGAGCCACCCAGGCGTCTCTGTGTAGCTTTTAAAATCAACATTTAGTTTAAGTCTGCATGTGATAGATGACAGATTTATTAAGTTAGCAAGCTGTGATTTTCCTAACGGAGTCTCTGGGAAAGTCCAGAGTCCTTACAGGAGGAGCGAAGATACTCTCTGAAGATGTGACTTTTATTAACACACTATATACTGGAAAGTAAAGCCTTCGTATTGAGAAAGGGCTTTTACCTCTGAGTTTGTTTTCTATGAGTTCTGTAAAATATACAGAATTATAAAACATAGCTTGGGAATCCTAAAAACCTGCTTGACCCTAGAAATATTTGGCTGGTAAATTAGTTTGAGTAGTACTAATTTTAATTTAGTATCTTGTGTTCCATAGGTATTATTATATCATAGTAGTATGTTATAGAGAAGCCATAATAGACTCTTTCATCATCTTGAAGGTCCTTGAAAGAGGCAGTTTTGTGTTGGCATTATTGGCATTTTGGGTCAGACAGTTCTTCACTGAGAGGCCCTTGTGTTGGAGGATGCTTAGCATTCCTGGTGTACCAGGCTCTAAATCTCAATAATGTCCCCCCAATCTCAAGTCATGACATCCAGTGAATAGCCCCACATATTTCCAAATCCTAGGAAGCGATGCAGCCCCACCTGCCAGTAGAAAACACTCGGAAGCATCTTATTTCGTGGCACTGGGGAATGGCAAGTCAGGATTACATCTGAACTAAAATGATCGATCAGATAAATGAGAGTGAGAGAGCAAGAGAGAGAGAGAGAGAAGTTTTTACGATGGATGTTAAATGGAAACAGTGTGGCTAGTTCTTTATACATTTTCTGGGCTTAATTACAGACAGCACATTTTAGAAAAGTCCTTAAGGGTTTGCTCTTTATCTTAATTCCAATGTCTTAAGTCGATAAGTATTTATTGAGCACCACATAAGAGCATGGTATACACCTTCTCCTCAGCAAGCATGTCCAGAATTTGATAGAAGAAGAGCTGTGTTCTTGTCCTCCTTGCATGAAACCACAAGATGATAAATTAAGCTAAATTAAAATAATTATCACAATGATCAATATAAAAGTAACTTTTTTTACTTATGAATAAAGTGTATTAAACTCCTTTTTAAAAATCAAATGTTCCTAAGAATTCAAAAATCTATCTAAAGGCAGAGCAGTGTTTTTATCTAACTTTGAAAAATGCTTATCTACCTTGAAAAGTACTTGCGTATGTATTTTGAATAGGAAAAAATATTAAAAGAAAATCTAATTCTTATTTGTTCCAATCGTAATTCCTATGCCCAGGTGAATGGGAATCAGTTTATGTCTGTGGTCACAGGATATCCTGTGACCACAGACATATATGTCTATACTATACATATATGTATATAGTAATTATGTTGTAATATTGTAATTACCTGTAGAATCCAGTCAAGTTACAATATAGTAATTTATCAGAACAGTAAACAGATCCTTTGCTTAGTCAAAGGACTCATTAAACAGTCTGCAGGTATATATCGATTATTTTAGAAGATAGACATCAAATTTAATCTGTGTAGTCTATTGCTAGTGCCAGTAAGAGATTGGTTTCCCCTCTCTTGTAGATTTCCCATGAGTTCAGACAAAGTTACCAGAGGCTGTTTAATTAATAAAAGCTGCTGCTCCTATGCTGATTCCCTAGGACATCTTCCAGGGTACAAAAGAGAAACCTGCTTCTAAATTGCTGTAACAATCAAGTAATCCATGCATATATGATAAAGCGTAAAGTCGGCAGTCAGCAAACATAGGATACTATTGCACTTCAGAAGAGAGGGGGAGGAAAGAGAAATAGAAGAAAGTAAATCTAGGATACTTAGGTGCTGGCATGGGGTTGGGGGTAATATGAAGTTCATTTTCAGTGACTCAAAATTACTAACCCTAAAATGTAAAAATTTAAGAAACAGAACCAGCATCAGCTTAATCTTTCAATGTATTTAAAGAGAAAGCAATAACTCTGTTGTCTTTGCTATCATAGGAGCAAAATACCTATAATAAGGAGGTACTTAGGGGTGCCTGGGTGGCTCAGTCGTTAAGCGTCTGCCTTCGGCTCAGGTCATGATCCCAGGGTCCTGGGATCGAGCCCTGCATCGGGCTCCCTGCTCCGCGGGAAGCCTGCTTCTCCCTCTCCCACTCCCCCTGCTTGTGTTCTCTCTATCACTGTCTCTCTCTCTCTCTGCCAAATAAATAAATAAAATCTTTAAAAAAAATAAGGAGGTGCTTATCTGTATACGGTAAAAAGCTCGTCTACCCAAAATGAGACATCGGGGTAGCCAGGGAATTGGGCAGATGTGGGAGGAATAGGATACAGTGTCTTCTAAGACTACCCTCCTTTTATTGTCAGCAAAGGAAGGGAATGATATGGTGAGTCATTTGCACAGTCTTAGTGGTCAAAGACTGGAGTTTGCCTCCCACCCCTGTGCTGGAGTAACTCCGCTGGGCTCTGGAATTAGAAAGGAGGGGAAGGGGAAAGTGTTGAAGGAGATGACCCCAATGACAAAACCAATGGCTTTAGAGAGAAACATGGAGTGCATTTTGGGTGTGCAGACTTTAACTTTTGTATTCCTCTTCTTGCTCACTCTTTACATTCAGTGTTAGAGTCTAGAGTCCCTGTTTTAAGTCTTGGAGCAGGTTTAGTTGGACAAAAAAGATCACATCCTCTCTCTCTCTCTCTCTCTCGCTTTAAGATTATATTTATTCATTTGAGAGAGAGAGCACGAGGAGAGGGGAAAGGGTGAGTGAGAAGCAGACTTCCCGCTGAGATGGGAGCCCAATATGGGACTTGATCGGGGTTGGGGGAGCTTTAATGGGGGGCTCAATCCCAGGACCCAGAGATCATGACCTGAGCTGAAGGCAGATGCTTGACCATCGGAGCCACCCAGGTGCCCCAGATCACATGGTCTCTTAACTTGGCTACATACTTTCCTGTCTTCCTCTGAGCTCCTGCCGGGAGGAAGTAAGCCTACTGGTGGTAGTGCAGGACCTGTACTGGTTGCTCCTTACTCTGTCACAGGATTGCTTTTCTCTCTCGGCAGGCAGCCCATTTGCAGAGGCTCGTCCTGATGCCCCTGTCGGCCCTGCTATCCTTATTCACAGGGCCTCAGAAGCTCATCCAGAAACGCTATGACAAACTGCTGGACTGCAATAGCTCCCTACCACGGGCAGCAGGAGATGAGTCAGACTTGGCCAAAAAGGAGTACGAGGCCCTCAATGCCCAGCTCGTGGAGGAGCTCCAGGTGTTCAACCAGGCTGCTCGGAAGGTTCTGTGGAACTGTCTGTGCAGCTTCATGGCTCTCCTCAGGGACCTGACACTTGCGACTCGGCAGGTTTATTCCACGGTGGCGCCGGTAAGCTCTGCACCAGCACCTGGCTAGCTAGGCCAGCAGGATCTGCTAGAAACCACAGCCATGTGCAATGGCTCTGTTCATGGTGTGCACGTGTGCGGTGCATGTGCGCATGTGGCGTGGGGGGTGGGGTGGTATTTAACTGAAGCCAGTCACAGTTTTTAAATTTCTCTTTTCTCCATAGGAAAGTTTCCTAGTTCAGGTTTATTGTGCCTTGCATACCTTAGGTCTTCTTGGAGGTTTCTTTTCAAATGCCAAACACCTTTTAGCTCCAGCTGCTTGATGCTCTGCTGAAGCTTATCAATTTGAATTTTGTAATCTCCTCCTACTCAACGGTTCTTCAGTGCTAACTATGACTATTTAAGACGTGGATCCAAAAAGAAAGCCATCTCCATGTAATGACAGCAACAGGATCAAACCAGTTTTTTTTTTTTTTTTTTTTTGCTTTAGTTTTCCTCTATGTAAAGAAGTCTAGGGGGTGTGTGTGTGCATGTGTGTGTAATTTAGCTTTCCATTAGGATATGATTTTATGACGATTTTCCTGAGGAAGAAGAATGATATTTACAAGCTAATATCAACTTAAAAGATCAGTGTGGTTTCTTTGCCCTTCATTTCAATTAATTCTTATTCAGCTGGTTAGATATTTAATGGACAACATTTGGAGGAAAATTAATTGTCCTGATTTTATTTTTTACTGTGTATTTAATTAACTTTTAACTTATCCTTTGAATAAATTAAGTTGAAAAATCAGGTGCTACATTTACATGATTCAAAGGCAAAACTACATAAAAATGTATAAGCAGTCTCACACAGACTCCTGTTCCCTAACCGCCCATCCCCTACCCCCACCCCCATTGTTACTAGTTTATCCATTTAGGGTTTCTTCATGCCACTAGAAGTAAATGCAAATATGTATATATTTTTCCTATAGAAAACTGGGATATTACAGCACCATCCTGCAATTTGCTTTTTAACCTCCTGGGGATGCATTAATGTGTTACCATAGACTGTTATGCCTGGTTTGTATCTCATAAAAATGGAATCATACAGTTTGCATGGTTTTGTGTATCAACCTGTTCCTACTGATGGATATTTGGATGTTTCCGGTTGTCTATAACTGCGTGGTTATAACAAATCATATCAGCATGTAGCAACCAATGGTCACTTATTACTATTATCTTTCATGGTTCTGGAGGTTCCCTGGGCTCAGGGTAGTCATTCTCAGTGCCTCTGTGAGGTTGCAGTCTCATAATAGCTGGGGCTAGTGTCATCTCAAAGACTTCCTCAAGCCCCTGTCTGGGGTGGGAGATAGGATGATGATAGAAGACTCAAATAGTTGAGAATGAGCACAGTTGGAGTTCCATAGACCGACCCCACCCAATCTTTCAACATGGTTCTTTGATATGGTGGCCACAGGGCAACTGGACTTCTTCCAGGTCTCAGAGTGAGTGTCCCAAGAGAAACCAGCAGAAACCACCTGGTCTCTTTGAGCCTAATCTTGAAGGTCAGATAACATTACTTCTGTTGTTCTGTTCAGGTCCACATTCTACTCGTGGAGGCAATTTTAAAAACCCGCGCACTTTTGAGGAGAGAAGTCATGGACTGCACCTCTTTATGAGAGGCATGTCAAAGAATCTGCTGATTTGTTTTAAAACCAGCACAGGCTCTTAACCAGTGCTTCTCGTTGTAGCTTCTTTCTCCTTCCCACTATCCCACCCGACCACTTTGGGGGACCCTTCTGCCGTTGATTCCTGAGCCCTTCTTCCAAAATTCCATTGCTTTTTATTTCTCTTCTATTCTTTTATTTAGGTTTGAAACTTTATTATTTTTTAAAGATTTATTTATTTGAGAGAGAGAGAACAAGCGGGGGGCAGGAGGGGGCAGAGGAAGAGGGAGAAGCAGACTCCCCCACTGAGCAGGGAGTCGACGTGAGGCTCGAGCCCAGGATCCCGAGGCCATGACCTGAGCCAAAGGCAGACACTTAACTGACTGAGCCACCCAGGCACCTCTAGGCTTGAGCCTTTAAAAACAATTATCCCTATCATTTTTAGTGATGTTTCTGGAGACAGCAAATTAGACCATTTTTATCCAAAAGTTCTAACATTGCCCTAATTTTTTTCTGTGGAGCTATCTTACACTTTCTCTGTTTGTCACAACTCTACTAAATTTAATACCTAATATGGTTAAATAGTTGTTTGAGAACAATGCCATATCATTTCTACCTATAGGTACCACTGTTGGCCTCAAGAATCTCTGAAATTCAGAATCAAGTACTAGAAGAGGTTCAAAATCTTAATTTTGTAAAGGACAACAGTACCACCTTTATTGAGAGGAAGCTTAGTTTTGAAAAGAAGAAGCCTGTGCAAATTCTGGTGAGTTTGGTAGGATTCCTGACAATAACTCTCACTACTTTTCCTTGTTCAAATCACAGTATCTATTATTTTCTAAATCACTTATCTCATTCTAATATCCTGTAATTTACCAACCTATTATATGTACGATTTCTTGTCTATTTCTTCCTTCTATACTATGAGTTCTGTAAGGTCATAGATTTTTTACCCATTTTGTATGTGATACATTCCAAGCTGTTAAGATGGTGCCTGACAACAGATATAAATATCTGTTGAATGGATGAATAGAATTTTGTAGAGCAAAATCATAGTCGTTCAACTGTTTCATTTTTTTAGATAAGGAATCCCAGGCTGCAGAGATGAAGTGGCTTCTCGAAGTCACTAGAGGCAGAGCTGGGAGGGGCCTAGGCTCTTGCCTCCTGACTATTTTACTGATATTATTTCCCAGGAAAAGACATGCACACGTACAATTTACTTAATTAAATATTACCTATCAAGTGCTTGATACGCAAGGGATTGTCTACAGGATGGCAAAAATTAAAAATTGTTCCATCGAAGAGGGATTAGAACCTCTGCCTTCTTATACTCGGCTGAATTTTCTTCTCTGCAACACTGCCCTCATGTGCTAACTAGAGAATTTTTCACCACAGAACTCAGCTGGATGCTTCACAATAATAACTCCATCAATGCTTCAACATTGAAATAATCCCAAATCAATGTATGGCTTCAACATTAAAAAAAAAAATTCTCCAAAGAAGAAATCTTTGCTGGCTTAGTGAAAATTTTATTACACATCTATCTAAACGTAAATTTCTCCTTACTTCTCCCAGCCAGAAGTGCCCCGTCAAACTGACATTCACCGCTCCAAACTTCTATCCACATACAGTAAAGAAGAACTCTACCAAGCGAAGCGGAAGTGCAATGCTACCCAAGAATATGACATCAATCTTCTGGAAGGGGAGTTGGTGGCTGTGGTGGAACAGAAGGATCCACTGGGGAGTACAAGCAGGTGGCTTGTTGACACAGGAAGTAAGTTTTTTTGCATGAAACGCACAGAAGTACCACCTCTTTTCAAGCTGAGATTTTCCCAGGGGCCTCTCTGTGCTTCTCTAAACACAAATGTTTAGTGAGGGTACATACAAATGACCTTGTTTCTTCTTTCTTTTTTATTCATATCCAGTTATAAAAGGATATGTGTATTCCTCCTTCTTAAAACCCTACAACCCAGCGAAAGCACAGAAGGTGGACACTGAGAACAGGTTCGGTGATGAGGATTTTGATAACATCAGCCTCTTTGTGTCCTCACGGCCAGCTAGTGACAGTGTCACAGGCACCCTGGAAAGTAGCATAAGTGACAGCAGCTCATCTCTTAGTGGTACATATGGAAAGTTTGAAACAAATGGCACTGACGTTGACAGTTCTCAAGAGGTAGATGAACAGGTAAGCATTTGAACTTTGATGTGACACTGCTTGGCTGTTCAAATCATCAAAGGTGTTCTCTCTAATAAATAGCATTCTATCTTGCTGTGAGACTTGGTGGAAGAGCGTCAGCTTTGACAGCAAGGAGACCTTGCTCTATGAACACGTATTCTCTGTGCCCCTTCTTGCAAGGAATTTCATTCTCTGAGCCTGTTTTGTCAAATGAGGGAAAGAGGACCATAATTGCTACATTGCACGCTTGATGCAAGGATTCGGGAAAATATGTACATGTAAAGTACAGCAGCCCAGAGTAGACATTCCGTAAATAGTAATTGTTACTATTACTACCCCGCTGTCATGTACTTAGAGTGAAGCAAAGACGGTCTTTTTATACTCCTCCATCAGAGAAAAACAGTTCAATACTGAACAGATTGCCACCATAAGGAGCAGGTGGAAAATTGTCCATGATTCCTCTAGGAGTGGTATCTTCATTGAGCTATCTATATAATCGGCCATTTAAAATCTCTCGTATAATGCCATATACGATCTACTGAAACCCTTAAGAGCTACCTTTCTTGTGCTGCACCAGTGCAGAGACTATGGGGATCACTCACAAAATAAGTTAACTATGATGTAGGGTTCCTTTTTACTACCTCAGAAGTTTCAGTATATTTAACTGTCAATCCTCAAGTGGTGACCAACTAACCGCTTCTCTTTTTTAACTTGCTTTTTTCATTAGTGGCTTTCACTAATTAATTTACATTTGTTTTTTATAAGGCTCATACATGTTATTTGTGAAAAGTTAAAATGGTGTAAAAATATACATAAATTAAAAGTAAAGGCCTTTATTCCCTTCTAGCCAAACCCTACCCTTCAGAGACAATATTAGGGTTTATCTTTTCATTCTCCATGCATGTACAAACACTTTTATTTATACCAGTGGGAACGTGTATATGTTACATAATTTACTTTTTTTTTCTACTTAACAATGTATCTTAGACACCACAGTACCTAAATGTCTACCTTATTCCTTAAAAAATTCTGAATAATAATTTATTTTGTGCATATATCATAATTTGTGTTATGATTATTACCTATTACCCTAATATTACCTTAATAAAAGACATTTAGAATGTTTGGGGGGGTTTAAAATTTCAAATTATTTCAGGCAAGATTCCTTGTTCATCGATTTTTGTGCACTTATATGAGTACATATGTAGGACAAATTCCTAAAAATGTTGGAGGGTCAAAGGGTATATATATCTAAAGTCTTGATAGACACTGCCATACAGCCCTTCAAAAATAGTTTATCTGTTTAGTTTCTCTCATCGATGATACACTGGTTGTTGTCCAATTCAGATGAATTCTTTTTTCAAAAAATAATCTTTATTAAGGACTTATTTACATGCCATAAATTTCATCCATTTTAAGTGTATAATTCAATGACTTTTAGTATATTTACAGAGCTGTGCAACTATCACCCCAATCCAATTTTAGAACATTCCTTTCACCCCCCCAAATCCTTTTCACTCATTGGCAGTCTGTTCTCTTTCCCAGCCCAGCCTCAGGAAATTACTAATGTACTTTCTTTCTTCATATATTTGACTTTTTTGTGTATTTTGTATTAAAGGAATCGTACAATATGTAGTGCTTTGCAGCGGGCTTCTTTCACTTAGCATAATGGTTTTGAGAGTCATCCATGTTGCAGTATATATATGTACTTTGTTACTTTTTATCACCTAATACTATTTCATTCTATGGATATAGCATATTTTGTTTATCCATTCACCAGTTGATAGACATTTTGGGTAATTTCTATTATGAATAATGCTGCTATAAACATTTAGGTACAAGTCTTTGTGAGGATTTCATTTCTTTTGAATAGATACCTACGAGTAGAATTGCTTGTTGATATGGTGAATTTGTGTTTAACTTTTTAAAGAAACTGCCAGACTGTTTTTCAAAGTGACTGCACCATTTTACATACCCACCAGCAATGCATGGGGGTTGTGGATTGCAGTTTCCCCACATCCTCACCTTACTGTCTTTTTTATTTTGATGATAGTCACTCTAGTGGGTGCAAAGTAGTATCTCATTGGGGTTTTAATTTGCATTTGACTAATGCTGTTGAGTGTCTTTCATGTACTTATTGACCATCCCTGCATTTTCTCTGGTGAAATGTCTATTCAAATATTTGCCCATTTTACAAATTGGGTCATTTTCCTTCTTATTATCCAATTGTAAGAGTTCTTTGAATAGTTTGGATGCAAGTTCTTTATCAGATATAATTTGTAAAAATAATTTCTCCCAGTCATGACCGATTCTTAACTCATCTGGACATTACTATATGCTTCTATCACTCTTCTGTCTTGAAGTTTCAAAACACCGTTTTTCTATTCCTTGTTCACTCTCTTAGTTTATTCAAGTTTCTAGAAAACAAAATTATATTGTAAAGCCAATAGATTAATGAAATTTTGTCAGTAAAATCTATAGTTGGGATTAAATATCCTGGCAGACTTTGACTTATCCCAATAACCTAGAAGGACAGAAATTTGAGGACCAAATTTGTCAAGATACCCTAAAGCTGGCTTAATGTTGAGCTCTAGTTACTATTGGCTCTACAGAGACTTTTGGAGTAAGAGCCTCACTGAGGCTCATTTGGCCTGGGATTTGTAGTCTATTTCCTAATAGCAGCTACTGCAAAGCAGTAATCCTATCAATATGTTTCATGTGAATTAGGTCCATTAGAAGTTTCCATTGCCAAGAGAGGGGGAAAAATGAGATAATTTTCTTTTGTTCAAAACAAAGTATATTGATAGTAACTTCATAGAGTGCTATTTGTTCTTTTCCTCTGAGTTTGGAACCAATTCAAAATAGACCCTGGTGTCAGGGACATACATATAAGCGTTATTCCTAACAAAACTGGATTAGAAAATGCAGCTTGGATCAGTGGCCATGTAGGATCCCTGAATATTTTCCTGTGTTAAAATAATTGAAAATTGCAGGTCTCTCCTGTGTATGGACAAAGTCTGTCCAAGTAAATTTACTATGAGTTGAAGACAGTGCACCTGTTAGAAACCCCAGTACAAGAGGGAAGAAAAGACCACATAGGAATATTTCCCTTAATGTCTTAATCCCAGTCAATAGAGGTACATGGGCTAGTGGTTTTCAGACTTTTCCAATTATGCAACACTCTTCAGCCCTCAGAAACAGAAGGAAAACCTTGTCTGATCCTCCAAATCCTATTCAGAGGGCTGATGTTTTCATTCTGTTGACTCCTACAAAGTGTGGAGAAGAAAATGGTTAACCCCCACACTTGCGGTGTGACAAACTAATTGAACACTGAATGCATTATAGAAGTCCCTATAAGGTGACTGAAAAGTGGGAGTAAAATGTATCTTTTTTTTGTGAACAGTGAGAATACATTGTATATTTTAATATGCACATTTGAGCTACCCTACAAAGCAATCTTCTGTGTGGCTATTTAGACTTCTGTTCTTGATTTTATTTTATCATCAGGAACATCAACTCAAACCTATATTGAAGGGTGCCTGGGTGGCTCAGATGGTTAAGCGTCTGCCTTCGACTCAGGTCATGATCCCAGGGTCCTGGGATCAAGTCCCGCATTGGGCTCTCTGCTCCTTGGGAGCCTGCTTCTCCCTCTGCCTCTCTCTCTCTCTGTCTCTCATGAATAAATAAATAAAATCTTTAAAAAAAAAAACCTGTATTGATTTAACTGGATGACACTTTGAGTCACCATTTCTTCCCTATCCTTTCCTACTGTGGCAGTAACACTTGTTTTGTTTTGTTTTTTTTTTTTGCTTTCTTCCAGAATTGAAATAGCATATTGCCATTGGTGTTGTAGGCCGTAATCTACTTTTATTGATGGTTCTAGTGGGCCCTGACAAGAAGGTAGATGAGTAACCTTGACCTATACCTGATATTCAGGAGGCATCACTGGGGTCCTAAAAACCAGTCATAAATAGGCAAGTTCAGACTGACTTCAGACTAGTGGCTCTGTGATTTTTCTACTCAAGCTGAGTTTTTAATGTGGACTACAAGAATAAAAGGGATCTATGAATGGGCTTTGGAAGGATCTATAAATCCCTTCAAATATGTTGGAAATTTTGTGCTTATGTGCATAACAATGCTAAAAGAGGTACATAGCTTTCAACAGATTTTCAAAGGGAAATTATATTTAAATAGGTTAGAAACCACTCCTCTAGAGACTTAACTTGCTTTCCATTCTCCCATCCACTCAAGGAAAAAAAATGTTGGATTAAGAGCCTCCTGCATTTTCTAGAATGGTTCTAGTGGATCAGAAGTCTTATGGGTCAGATGAAAATATGACTTATTATCTATAACGGGACACTTTTGTTAATGAAAGAGAATGTTTACTGGATGAGATTAACTCTGACAGGTATTATTGGGAGATATGGAGATACCAATGGAGATACCAATCCATTCAGACTCCTCCATGCACATCCTCCACAGAAAGCATGGACTTTCTCTGAATGTTTTAGAAGCTCCCTAAATGATAATCCAGAGCCTTGTAGAATAATGGGGAGGAGGTAATGGATATTTGCAACCTGGAAGTACTTATTTATACTAAAGGACTTAATAATTTCTTTACTCACAACTTTGTGATCTATCAAAAAATATTAAAAAAGCAAACAGATATGTCTTTCTATTCTAATGTATTCTCCCCTTTTGCCCACCAAAGAGTAATGACATGATTTGTGTTAGTTTTCACTGCTGCATAACAAATTATCACACACTAAGTGGCTTAAAACAACATAAATGTATTATCTCACATTTCCGAGTTCAGGAGTCCAGGCACAGTTTAGCTGGGTGCTCTGCTTGGCATGTCACATCACTGCAATCCAGATGCTTGCTGGGCTGTGTTCCTTTCTGAAACTCTTGAGTTCTTTTCCAAGCCTGTGGTTGTTGGCAAAACTCAGTTCCTTGTTCTGGTAGGACTGAGGCCTCCGTTTTCTTGCTGGCCATCAGCCAAGGACCCC